GCTCGTGCTGCTGGAAGAGGTTGAAGTTGTTGAGCTGGACGTCGAGGATGTTGAAGAAGTTGAAGATGAGCTACTAGAAGTGGATGTAGATGTAGTGCTTGTGCTGGAAGATGTCGTGCTTGTGGACGAAGTGGACGATGACGACGTTGATGAGCTTGATGTGCTGGAAGAGGACGTGCTGCTTGACGAAGTTGTTGTACTGCTCGTTGAAGTAGATGTCGTGCTGCTAGTGGAACTGGATGAGGAGGATGAGGTCGTTGAGGAGGTGGTAGATGATGTTGAAGAAGTGCTCGTGGATGATGTTGTAGTTGTAGAAGTACTCGTGGAGGTTGTACTAGTTGACGATGTGCTGCTGCTACTAGTCGAGGACGACGTCGTAGAAGTCGAAGTAGACGTCGTCGACGACGACGAGGTGCTAGTCGATGTGCTTGAAGTTGATGTGGTGCCTGACAACCAATGGACAACACAAGATCTGAAAGTAGATGTCAAATAAGCAGAGCCGGGCAATGCTTCGGTGATGAGGCAAGTGATTTAGGGACACCGCGCGCGGGGCAGTTTCGAGGCAATTGTTACATAATGTCGTTCGTCTCAAACCCTGTCATGTTGAACTGGCCATCAACCGTCGGTGTATGCCTAATCTCACCTGGCGCTATAGGCCACCACACTCGGAGACAACAAAACGCAACTCAAGTCCCGAAAACTCGAAAGACGTGGACTCGCGTTCGGAGATTATGCTCCATGCCTTGCGTAGCTGCAACATGCAGCCAAGACCAGCCAAGTTACTGGTACTGGAGGTGCTTGAGGTGCTGCTTGTGGATGTGGATGAAGAGGTAGTGCTACTGGAGGTGCTCGATGTACTGCTTGTGGAGGAAGTCGAGGTAGATGTAGTGCTGCTGCTTGTGCTGCTCGAGGAAGTTGAGGTTGACGAAGTACTGCTTGATGACGTTGTAGTCGAGGATGTGCTTGTGGTGCTGCTGCTGGTGGAGGATGTACTGGTACTGCTGGTGGAGGTAGAAGAGCTTGAGGAAGTTGTTGAGGAAGTGCTAGTTGTAGATGACGAAGTAGAAGATGTCGATGTGGTACTGCTGCTGGTGGACGAAGTGCTTGTTGACGACGAGCTGCTGGTGGATGTTGATGTGGAAGATGTTGATGTCGACGAGGACGAAGTGCTCGTCGAGGATGTCGAACTCGATGATGTGGAAGTGGAAGAACTGGTTGTGGAAGATGTGGAGCTCGATGACGTCGTGCTGGATGACGTGGACGTCGAACTGCTGCTCGTCGAAGAAGTGCTCGTCGACGATGTCGATGATGATGAAGTCGATGTCGATGTCGACGACGTGCTGGATGTGGACGTTGAGGTCGACGAAGTTGATGTCGTACTGCTGCTTGTGGAGGATGTGCTCGTAGAGGAAGTACTGCTAGAAGAGGTGCTGGTACTTGTGGTTGATGTAGACGAAGATGATGTGGAGGTTGAGGATGTGCTTGATGAGGATGTTGAGGTCGATGAAGACGACGTGCTGCTAGTGCTTGTGGAGGATGTGCTCGTAGAGGAAGTGCTCGTGCTGGTGGTTGATGTAGAAGATGATGATGTGGAGGTTGAGGACGTGCTTGATGAGGATGTTGATGTCGATGAAGTCGACGTGCTGCTAGTGCTTGTGGAGGTTGTGCTCGTGGATGAAGTGCTGGTGCTCGTCGTGGAAGTAGAAGAGCTTGACGTAGATGTTGACGAGGTGCTTGAGGAGGATGTTGAGGTCGACGAAGTCGACGTCGAACTGCTGCTTGTGGAGGATGTGCTCGTAGAGGAAGTACTGCTAGAAGAGGTGCTGGTACTTGTGGTTGACGTAGATGAAGATGATGTGGAGGTTGAGGATGTGCTTGATGAGGATGTTGAGGTCGATGACGTCGATGTAGTGCTGCTGCTGGTCGAGGAAGTGCTTGTGGATGACGTACTGGTGCTGGTGCTTGATGTAGATGAGCTGGATGTGGATGTTGACGACGTGCTTGAGGAAGAAGTTGAGGTTGACGACGTCGAGGACGTACTGCTGCTTGTGGAAGTTGTGCTTGTAGATGATGTGCTGGTGCTGCTCGTGGACGTAGACGAGCTTGATGTGGATGTTGACGACGTGCTTGAGGAAGATGTCGATGTCGACGAAGTCGACGTTGTACTGCTGCTTGTCGAGGAGGTGCTTGTAGACGATGTGCTGGTACTGCTGGTGGAAGTGGACGAAGTTGACGTAGATGAGCTCGATGTTGATGTTGAGGATGTGCTTGAGGAGGATGTTGATGTCGATGAAGTCGACGTGCTACTGGTGCTTGTTGAGGTTGTGCTCGTGGATGAAGTGCTGGTGCTCGTCGTGGAAGTAGAAGAGCTTGACGTGGATGTTGACGACGTGCTTGAGGAGGATGTTGAGGTCGACGAAGTCGACGTCGAACTGCTACTTGTGGACGATGTGCTCGTAGAGGAAGTGCTGGTGCTGCTGGTTGACGTAGATGTTGAGGATGTGCTGGATGAGGATGTCGAGGTCGATGACGTCGATGTAGTGCTGCTGCTGGTCGAGGAAGTGCTTGTGGATGACGTACTGGTGCTGGTGCTTGACGTAGATGAACTTGATGTGGATGTTGACGACGTGCTTGAGGAAGAAGTTGAGGTTGACGACGTCGAGGACGTACTGCTGCTTGTGGATGTTGTGCTTGTAGATGATGTGCTGGT